ATCAAAGCACTGTAAGCGCTGTAGGCAGTTAACCAAAAACCAAGGCAAACGTAATTATGAAAACTGTGGCAGTGTTGCTTCAATTTTTTTTAAGATTTGAAAGAACAAACATTAAATATTCGTATATTGTACATTTATGTTCATTAAATGAATTGATTATTAAGGCAAATTAATTAATATTTCATCAAGGTTTTCAAAATCAACTCATATATCAATGTAAATGACCCCCATCTTCACCCCCAAGTGCATGATGTTACTCCATACCAAGTTTGGAATAAAATGACAGATGATTATAAAACAGTTGGTCAAACATTCTCGGGCTTTTCACTGCTTGGAAGATTTATATGTTTTCTTAAAAATGAGCCATAAATGAAAATTATTATAGGCCCAGAAATAATTTAATAAATAATTAAAGTAAATTCAATTAACCTACCTAGACTCATTTTTTGCATCAATAAAATTTTATAATAAACAAGAAATAATTGTAACAGGATGCCGTTACGAAGTCTCCCAAACAAAGCCCCCATAATTCGTCATTCCCATGGTCTCCTGACATTGGGCAAAGTCCAGTTCATATTGGTTTGGTCTAGTAAAGTGATATGCATATGTGACACCTAGGAGATTGACCCTGGTATGTCATTCAAATCTTTTTGAAATGATGAACAGGAATAAATATGGTTTAGGTGTGGGTATCTCGACCATTTACAAGTTCTCAAACAGGAGAGGGTGGGGTGACCCCAGGGACTCCCCCTATATTTCAATTGATTTGTTATATTGTCCCATACATGAAAACATATATATGGTTTAGGGGTGGGGATCTCAACCATTTCCAAGCTCTCAAACAGGAGGGGATGGTGTGACCCCAGGGACTCCCCAAATATTTCATTTGATTTGTTATATTGTTCCATACATGAATATATATGGTTTAGGGGTGGGGATCTCGACCATTTCCAAGTTCTCAAACAGGAGGGGTTGGGGTGACCCAAGGAACTCCCCATATATTTCATTTGATTTTTTATATTGTCCCATACATGAATATATATGGTTTAGGGGTGGGGATCTTGACTGTTTACAAGTTCTCAAACAGGAGGGGTGGGGTGTCCCCAGGGATTCTCCCTATATTTCATTTGATTTGTTTTATTGTCCCATACACGAATGTATATGGTTTAGGGGTGGGGATCTCAACCATTTCCAAGTTCTCAAACAGGAGGGGTTGGGGTGACACCAGGGACTCCCCATATATTTCATTTGATTTGTTATATTGTCCCATACATGAATATATATGGTTTAATGGTGAGGATCTTGACCGTTTACAAGTTCTCAAACAGGAGGGGGTGGGGTGACCCCAGGGACTCCCCTATATTTCATTTGATTTGTTTTATTGTCCCATACATGAATATATATGGTTTAGGGGTGGGGATCTCGACCATTTCCAAGTTCTCAAACAGGAGGGGGTGGAGCGACACTGGGGACTCCCCCAAATTATTTTCATTTGATTTCTTTTATTGTCCCATACAACATGTACAAGTATATATATTGTTTAGGATTGCAACAGTTTACAAGATAAAAGTACATTTTCAAATTGAAGGGGGTTGGGATGACCCACAGGGACTCACCCTATATTTCATTTGATTTGTTTTATTGTCCCATACATGAATATACATGATATATATGGTTTAGGGATGGGGATCTCGACCATTTCCAAGTTCTCAAACAGGAGGGGGTGGGGTGACCCAAGGAACTCCCCATATATTTCATTTGATTTTTTATATTGTCCCATACATAAATATATATGGTGTAGGGGTGGGGATCTGGACTGTTTACAAGTTCTCAAACAGGAGGGGTGGGGTGTCCCCAGGGACTGCCCCTATATTTCATTTGATTTGTTTTATTGTCCCATACACGAATGTATATGGTTTAGGGGTGGGGATCTCAACCATTTCCAAGTTCTCAAACAGGAGGGGTTGGGGTGACACCAGGGACTCCCCATATATTTCATTTGATTTGTTATATTGTCCCATACATGAATATATATGGTTTAGGGGTGGGGATCTTGACCGTTTACAAGTTCTCAAACAGGAGGGGGTGGGGTGACCCCAGGGACTCCCCTATATTTCATTTGATTTGTTTTATTGTCCCATACATGAATATATATGGTTTAGGGGTGGGGATCTCGACCATTTCCAAGTTCTCAAACAGGAGGGGGTGGAGCGACACTGGGGACTCCCCCAAATTATTTTCATTTGATTTCTTTTATTGTCCCATACAACATGTACAAGTATATATATTGTTTAGGAGTGGGGATCGCAACAGTTTACAAGATAAAAGTACATTTTCAAATTGAAGGGGGTTGGGATGACCCCCAGGGACTCACCCTATATTTCATTTGATTTGTTTTATTGTTCCATACATGAATATACATGATATATATGGTTTAGGGGTGGGGATCTCAACCATTTCCAAGTTCTCAAACAGGAGGGGGTGGGGTGACCCAAGGAACTCCCCATATATTTCATTTGATTTTTTATATTGTCCCATACAAGATAAAAGTACATTTTCAAATTGAAGGGGGTTGGGATGACCCTCAGGGACTCACCCTATATTTTGGTTGATTTTTTTTATTGTCCTGTTCTCATTACTGAAGATTGCATGTGTCTATCACTTACTGCTTTCGAGAAATAGTCATTTGAAAATTTAAAAAAATAAAATCCCATAGGGTTCTATAGTAAACCCCTCCCTTCTTCAGGCCCCTCCAAATACCCCTAAATAGACCCCAATGCACAAAAAAAAGATTAATGGCTCCGCTAGACATGTTAGTCTAATATTTAATGAAACCCTAAGTAAATCTGACAAACGGTCAAAGTTGTCTTCTTAGACGGTTTGAGTGGATTTGGTCCGACTTGTCTCGGGGACGAGTTGTCCACATTACTTAAAACATCCCATCAACGTCCATTTCCGCATCTGTTTCATGACCTTGTTTCATTCATAAAATAACAAAAACCTTATTTGGCAAGATATTTAAAAATTACCTCCCACTTATATAACTTTATTTCCTCTACAGTGTTCCAGCTTGAATCTCAGGGCAGAAGGGTGCTAGTTGTCTGAAAGGGCACTTTAGCGTTATAACCCAGATTTTAAGGGCAATGTTGGACAGTGTATAAATTACCTTGAATATTGCTAGGCTCAGCTGGAGAACATTAGTTGTATTTAAACCATATTCAGAAATTAATGTATTCTTGATGTTGGTTCCAGTAAGAATTTTTTTTCATCAAATTATCATACCATGAAGCAAAGCATATCATTTTGATGTTAATCTAAACAAACTTGTACATTTGGTATGGAAAATAATCATCAGAAATTTCAATGTTTTATAACTTATACCAAAATAAACAAGAAGTTTTGAAAGATGGAGTTATACATGCAAAATTGAATGTTGAATGTAATTAAATTATCTACATTTAAATTACTTGTTCAAACATATAGTATATATGTTATTGAGAGTTATTTATTATCATTTGAATTGTTACAAAAAAGTATTTTTAAGTGCACACCAAAGTGCTCCTCAGTAAGGAGTTTTATAAATATAACAGGTGAGACAGGAGATGATCATATTTTATATTGATGCAATAATATATTGCAGAAGGTATAAACAGTTTCTTTTTTCTCCATCATTGTTAAAAATAAATTTGTTGAGTGCTCCTATGTCAGGAGGATTATGAAATACAAGAAGTATTAAAAACAGGAAGTGAATCTTGTTATGTTCAAGATACAAATTTCTTTGATTCCTCTTTAAATTTCATACTCATGGTTATGAAACAAAACATTTTTTACCAATTAAGTCAAAACTATGTATGCCTTTCAAATTGTTTAAGATTTTATTTTTTATGTTATGCCTACTGAAATAATTTTTTTCAGGTGTACATGCTGTACATAAACATTACAAATGGATAACATGTGGACATTTCATTCTGTATTAAATATCTAGTATTTGTTCAATTATCTTAAATCCACTAATTAGCAGTAAACAATCATTAACAAAGGTGATAAAACTGCCAAAGCACTAGGTATTTAACTTAATCCCATTGTCAGTTAATTAGTGTTACACAATCAGGTAACAATTTTACCGGAAACGCCGGTAGGCATGAAATTTTGAAATTTTATTTTTTGAAAAGGCACAGGGGTGCATTCTTTTACTTTGGAGGGCAGAAGGGCGGGGGTAAGGGCATCAAGGGCGGGCCTCCCTTCTATTTAGGGCAGGCGGTAACACTGCTCTATCATAGCACTACTTCCTATGTGCAACTTTAAAAGTTTTGGGTAGTTCGACGATCATTTAAGGTTTTTCTGGTCATATTTTTGTATTCCAGAAATAAAAGTATTAAAAAAATGTTGAATTAGTTATCATGGTTATAAATAACATAATAGCCAGCTAGATAATGACAATGGCACGTATTTCAGCATTTATTGGGTAGAACAAAAATCTAGGGTGCTTGCATAAGGCAGCTTAACTGCCTAAAAATCTATCAAATATGCCATAATGTCACTTTTCAGATGGTTTTTGTCAAAAATAAAAGTGCTGCATCCGTGTTCATTCTCAACCTTTATATATGTTATGTATTATCATCAAATACAACTTACATTTAAATATTAAGAATAAACACAAATGCGGCCACTTCCATTTCAGACGGAAACTGTCTTAAAATTAACCAAAATGCTAAAATTCAGTATAAATTTAGCATGACTTAATGATGCTAGTACCCGATACATGTGCATTGTATTGTCAAAAACAGTGCATTTTATGTAACAGAAGTATTCTTCTTTCCAATAAATAGCTAAAAATTTACATTTTCACAATTTTGTAAAACTGCTATATATTGGGGCCAAAAAGGGGTCTTACTTGGCCTACTCCTTTAATAATCTTTCTGTATACCCCCATATTGAAACCCTCAATTACGTGTAAGTACCAAATCATTTGAGTGAGACAGTAACATCATGTATATTACCTGAATTTTAGCTGATTGTGTGTCGATATAATCATAAAAGTATACACAACGAAACGTGTGCATTGAAAAAATCTTGGGGCGGTAATAGAATGGGGATGATACGACGATTTATCTTTTAAAACTTGCTAAAATATGTTGCAAGGTTTTGAACCCTTACCGCAAATTTAAAAAAATAAACTGATAACTTAGAAATAGTCTATATTTAGATTGGGGGTAATAGCTGGATACCTCATTTGTTTTTTTAATTCATTTATTCTTCTCTTTTCTCATTTCCGTACTAACGGGGCACTTGAGACAAAGTATAAAAGGTTTTAAGCTTGCCTTTTTGTCTCTGTTTATGAAATGAGCTGTAAAACCAGAGACTGCATTAAATGTCGCTGGTAGAACTCTTTAATACAATAAAACAATAGAAATTCAACCAACGACGTGATGTTATTTTCAATTTAGGATACGAACAATGAAATTGCCTATAGCTCTTTATATTATGAAACGGGGAATTGGAACCATCGTTGATTAAATTGGATTATGTTGGATATTTGTATATTTCCAATTGTAAATAGAAATTATATTCCACGTACACGCGACATAGTAACATCTGTGCCCGGTACGTTAGAAGAAGAAGAAGGAGGAGAAGAGTATGAATTCCTCGACGATTTAAAGCCATGGTTCTTTCTCAAAGTACAGAGTGCATGACACACACGGGCGTTTTTCAATAAAAGTGCGAATTTCAGACCTAAAAAAATGGAAAAATCAACTTGTCTAAAATTTTATTTCAAGAGTTATTTTGAATACCTCTATTATAGACCTGTTTGTAAATGAAAAGTGCAATCTTAAATACTCTTCAAGATGATATTTTTTCATAATTTATGTACTGTTTCGTAGTTGACATTTGTCCACTACGAAACTGTTTCTAAACCCACTTTTTATGGCATTTTAATGTCTCCTATTGACATTCTAGTTTGTTTTCTTTTATATACTAGAAAGATCTCATTTTTTTCTGAATTGGAGAACCATTTTTTATTGATAAAGATTAGACAGTACTTCACATATGAAGGTACAACTCATGTTACGTAGACTACATTTTGATGAGTTTCGTAGTTGACAAAAACCGTTTCGTAGTGGACAAAAAGTTTTGTAGCTGACATCAACCCTATTCTATGTTGATAAAAACATATTGAAAATTACACGAAACTAACCCTTGTCATTTGTTTTGCACGAATATAATTAAAAAAAAGTGAAAAAAACGACTGCATGATAGTGGTAGAGTCCACTACGAAACGTTTTTCTCTCAAACTTGTTTCATAGTTGACCGTTACGTAGTGAACATATTCACATGTTTTATTTTTTTCCCACAACCCCTATATTGCAATAGTTACAAAAATGATTCTATTCATCAAATCACACACTAAGCTGTACACTGATATTTTTTCATAATTTTAAAACCAGATACTGAAGGAGATTTGACTCGTTTCGTAGTGGACATTAGAAAATATACGGTATCACTCTGGTCCATTTGATGTGCTCAATTTTTTTTGCCAACAATTTAACTGCCCTTATAAAAGCATCACTTCTTTTGTAAGACCCTAATGTTTATATCCAGTCCATTTCTTGCAAACATTGATTATATAAAACTGTTAATATGCCAAATTCAATGACTTCGTTTCGTAGTGAACATTTTGTCAGGGACACACCTGCTAAAATTAAAAATCATTTGTCAAAAACTGTTTATTAAAATATGTTGGCTCTAAACATACTTTTGAATAGTTATAGAACCTATATGAAGTAAAATTAACATTAATTTCTACCTTTTTTTACAATATTTTAGAGTTTGAATGTTGAGTTGGAGACTTAGGGACATGCCATTTTGGTTATTTTTAACCATTCAGGAATGAATATCTTATTAATCCCTCTAAAAATAGTATGTTTCTTTGCTTAAAAATGTTAAATGTAATTAAATGTACTGACTGCACAAAAAATTACTTGTTAAGACAAAAAACATTTTTTTAAAAGTGGCTGGGACAAGAATTCTCGTTTTTATTGAAAAACGCCCACACACGAAGGAACGTAGGATTCATCGCATTTTAACCGGACGTGGCTGTGTATCTTTAACATTAAACAGTCAAACGGACGCTCTCTCTGAATTTTTTTCTCTCTAGACCGGAGAGATGCCCATGCAGTCATTCCCTGGGGTTCTAGAATTCATTAGCAATCCAATCATTAACTAAATGTTAATATATATTACATTTATAGATATGTACAATGTAATTTGAATGATAAATTATTTAAGAACATAACGAATCAGTTGAAAAATCATATCTCCAGGGAGGGACGCACGTGCAAAGGTAAACAGAAGCCAGTTACAACAATAGGTTACCTAGAGAATTCTTGATATCTCACGTTTGTGCTAAATGATTGATGCAATATTAGTAGATTTTTTATAAGGAGAAACATGAATCTGATTTTTTAGAGATGCTTTATCCTTACATCGCTTCATGAATATGGAATATAATCTTTGGTCGATTCTATGATTTTATATATCATAGTTGTGTCGATTGTGTTATTTCCTCCACCCAATATGGGCCTTAAAACGGCAACTTCACTTGTCTTAGACGTTTGTAGACAAAAGCAGAGTAAATTAATAGCGAAAGTTCGAGACGGAGTGAAAAACGATTAATGAGTACCTTGTGATAAGTTAATGTATATAGGTATATTTTAAAAAAAATGAAACAAGCGCACGGGGAAACAGAAGAAAAGGTAATCAGACCTTGCTTTTTGTCTTGTTACTTAAGCTCGACGGTATATACGAATACATTTCATATTTTCCGACATTGTACATATATTGTATATATACGCTTGATATAGTGCAGGATGAGTAAACGTTGCCATGATGTCTACATATGGTCCTGCGGTCAGCAAAGTTCCACAAAGGACTTGTTATTATTACTTTATATACAAAATCAAAGCAATGTGGTATTATTTCCAATGATACACCTAGCCACCAGAGACCAAATGACGTAGATGATAGTTAATTTATAGTTCACCTGACGGTCTTCAACAATGAGCAAACCCATAATTTATAGTAGCCAAAGTAAAGGACCCGAAATGACAAAAAGTAAACGAATTCAAATTAGACATCGTACATGTACTCATTATAACAACCTACCTGCATGACAACATATAACATCTAACATTTGGCTCTCTGCCCACGATTGTATAATACTGAATACAGTCGAAAGTATTTTACAGTACTGATACTGATATACTACAAAAAGACCTATACAAACTTGAAGAATAGGAAAAATCTTTGGGCATGAACTTCCATCAACAGAAATGTTCATTTAAGTAGGACTTCTTAATGAAAGTGTTTTTTATCTGTCTTGTTTATTTTTCGCCATTTCCCCTCACAGCCTTTTTTCTGTTCAAGTCTTCATGGTAAAGCCACGAGTTGTTCGATTTTGTACGGAAACAATACGTTTGTTAGACTCTCGATAAGTCTAATAAGACAGCACACCAACAATGGCTGAACTGGTAAAGATTTTTGTTTAATTTCAATAAACTGATCAAGTTACAATCTGAACTGTCTGTCCGAGACAGTTCCTTTTATAGTTCTACAGACGTGACTAAAAATAGAAAGAATGCAGTTTGTTTCTACTTTTGAAAGGTACTCACTTTTTTAAAGCCGAAAGCGGCATATAAATATATCATAAATAATGGTCAGTTCTTTTACTTCTATAAGGTAAGCATTGAAGTCCATTAAATACAAAACTATAAATGTCTATTAACTGACCACTACCCGATGACCACCTGTATAAGCTTCCCTAAAGCCAAAAAACATGTACAAAGTCACGCTGTAGAACGACAATTATAATATTTTCCGCAAATTAACTTTAATAGTTATTATAAAATTACTGTTCATTGTTATAATATAAGAAAATTATATAGATTCAGAATCTTTAAAGTTATAATTATACAATCACTGCATAGTGTTACACATTGGCATAGACATTAATGTTTTGAACCATCATAATTAATACCACTCCAGACCATGCACCGAGTCATACATATCTGTGTATGTATTATACAGAAGTCCACTAAATGTCTTAAAATTCACTATTTCCAATCCCAGAGCACAACTCACTGAATTTGCAATATTACCAGCCATCATCGTAATATCACCAGCCTACATGCTCCGAAAGCACCGCAATGTTAACAATTGATTTTTTCAAGAAAAAGAAAATTAGGAATTGAAAATGTTATCATTAAATAAGCACAACGATAAGTGCAAATATGGAAAGTATGAATCGCATTATTTAAGCAACAGGGGAGAGACAATATAATTCATTTTTAGATATTGAACCGACTTTGAAGGTATAGGTCTGACTATAATAAGTATTTGACTTCAGATGGTTGAACTGATGTAAAGAGTTCAAAATACTAAATTAAGAATGAATCTAAAATCATAATTACAAAGCAATCCTGAATAACATTTTTCTATTAAAAGTGAATGGAAAGCCATGCGTAAATGATTTCCCTTTGGACAAGTGTGCGTATGGTATAATCGAATTAGAAACACTTGATCAAGTGCCCTTTATTTCATAATTTCACTAAAAATTAATAATTTTTCATTCCGGATGTTCTTGGTTAAACAAAAGCGGCAAGTATTGTCATGTATATTTAATATTGTATTGGACATGGCATTGAAACCAATTCATTAATGACAATAAAAATTAATGAACTAGAACTGACCAAATATCTGCTTCATATACAAATTTAAACATTGTACAATTTAGTTTCGTATCAATAATGGCCGACAGTGATCGCAAAACGTTAGCGACAGTATGGGGAGAATTTAGTCAAACAACAGGATTCCATGGTGTAAATAAACTTGCAAACGGCAATAAATTAAGATGGTAATGTAGAAATATTTTCAACATTTTGTTTATTGTGTTAATGCTTTACTGCTGTTAATTGTTATTGTGTTAATGCTTTACTGCTGTTTATTGTTTTTGTGTTAATGCTTTACTGCTATTAATTGTTATGTCGTTAGCAGTGGCGGATCCAGAGGGGGGCGTAGAGGGCGTACGCCCCC